ATGTCGATTAAATCTTCTTTTAATATGTATGTTTTTATTTATGGCAAAGATAGTAAAGCTATCTGCTATAATCCTTGATTTTAACCTACTGAGCAGGGTTAATGCAGGGAATTAGCAGCACATTACCACTAATCAACTACGTTTAGTTACTGAATGTCACCATTTCTGCTACAGTCCTTGATTTTAACCCACTGAGTAGGGGTAATGCAGCGAATTAGCAGCACCTTACCATTAATCATCTACGTTAAGTTACTGAGTGCCTCCATTTCTGCTACAGTCCTTGATTTTAACCTACTGAGCAGGGGTAATGCAGCAAATTAGCAGCACCTTACCACTAATCATCTACGTTAAGTTACTGAGTGCCACCATTTCTGCTACAGTCCTTGATTTTAACCTACTGAGCAGGGGTAATGCAGCAAATTAGCAGCAACATACCATTAATCATCTAGGCTAAGTTACTGACTGCCACCGTTATAACGCACCCAAAGTATGAAGAATATTTTTCGGTGTCGCGCAGATACGAATCCAACTCATTAGCTTCGAAATACCCTATCCAAACATTAATCTTAATCTTACTTGCTGTAGATGACATTTATTGTGTATGCAAGTAAAATCTAAGTTGATGTAATATGCGCTTTGGAAGAAAGTATTCAGTAGTTTCAAGTTTCTAAAAATTAAAACTTAGCAGTTTTAAAAAGTCGAAATATCAAATCACCGTATATCTCGACTTGTTTTACGTTGTTGATGTTTTTTGTGGTAGATTTAATTGCTTCGAGTCTTGTTTTATAGAAGAATAGCTGCACAATTATTATTTGTACATTATTTATGTCGTGACTAATAAATGCAAAGTTTTGTTACGCTCTTACTAGCTACATTGATTTTATTTTTAAACCAGAGCTTTTGATTTAAATTGAAAACTATACCAGACACCAAACATTTTATTCTATAAGGAGACATCTTATTGATTGCAAGCGGAAAATTCCATGGTGTAGCTGCTGTGTATAAACAATGATGAACTATTCAAAGTAATGAAATGTTAAATTTTCACGCTTACAAGTATAGTCCAAGATTAGGTACGAATATTAAGTCTTCGAGCCTACAAAGATAATCTCAGGGTTAAGAAAGTCAGCACACGTAACTGTTAGAGGTAGTTGAACAATTCTACAAGATGTTAATAAACGATCAAAGTACTCTTCAGATAACATTTTAGCATAAACTTGCACACAATAAGCCTATGATATTTTCCATAAAGCTTCATTATACCTCATAAGACCCATAAAACAATATTTATTACGTTAGGTCACATAAGTACCAATAAAACACAACTGCACGTTTCTGTGACTTGTAACACAATTGGTTAAATAGTTAAAGATTAACACGAACAAAAGGACACGTATTAAGTAAGAAGAGGGGAGATAATTCGCAAAGTCTTCAGTAACTATATATTGTTGACCAGTTATGTTTCACTTAATATAAGTTAAATTTTGGAATAATTTACATGCGTTTGTGTTTGAAACTGGATACCGTAAACTTTTCAAAAGCATTGCAATTATTGATAAATGTAATAAAAGTAGACTGAGTAACAAGTATTTTAAAACTTTCTTCAGTAGGTGGAGATCATTTTCAACCCACATTCAGTCCGTGTTCTTTCAAAGTGACAGACGTCGAGTTAGTCGTAAGTTACGAGGGGAAAACTCTAACCATCGGTCGAGAGGTGTCTCTTCCTCACGAGAGTAAACTAAACTTTAGATGTTCTAAAGCAGGCATATACAAATTTGATGGTCAAACGAATGTAACTTGTTGGAATGGACAATGGAGTTCAACATTTCCCAGTTGTGTGGCTACAACAATGCAGAGAAACTTCTCAGGTAGGGTAAGACTCTACTTTTATGGACCAGAGAAAAAGTAAATATTGAATGATAACAATTGAAAAAGAGAACATTAAAATAAGAACAATTTGATTGAGAACAATTCTTCACCGATTTTATCTCTTTTAATAATTTGTATTTAATTATTTTCCACAAAGCATCTCTTTTCATCGTTTTCAAAAGGACTTTTATAGGTTTAACATGAACCTGAATCATTTTATCTGGCAAAAAGAATATAGAATCAAATTTTCTAGACATGTTAAATTACACTTAGGCACATAAAGTTACTTCAGGACACTCAAGAAGGACTGGCAAGATTAATGATCAAAAATCATGACCAGTTAATACTTAAAAAACAATAAAATACACAGGAAAAATTTATTGTTTTGACACCAATGAGACCAACAGAAATGAAGATGTGGGATTTTTACATTTTGTACATATGGATAGTGGTTTGTACCAAAAAGAATTCTTGCATATGTGCATAAGATTCTTATAAAAAATAACATTTGCAAGTTTAACCACTGTGCGAGATTTTTATACGGACTATGATTCTTTGTGAATATTGAATTTTTTGCTGTGTTATTCCTGAAAAGAAACGAATGTACTCCTGAAAAAAAATTAAAAAACGCTGGAATTACCTCATCATTTATCATAGTGCTAAAACCACTGTATCTAATGTTTGAATTAGCTTTAACAGACAGACATTTTCAATAAGTACTTCATGACATATGAAAATAACTAAACAAAAAAAAATCGCCGTCAGATTACTGGGAGAAAAACTAAAATGCTTTGAAATTTTTCACCAATATATTTGTCATGAAGGTAAAAAATAGGTAAATAATTTATCTTAATACCTTGCTAATGTTTAAGTGCCTCTCTCATACGCTTCACCTCAGCATATTGGTATAATTAATTAAGTATAACGCAATTGGCAATAATACACTTATGCAATAACAAATGTTGCGTTGTTTCGGAAGCTATTGGTCGGATTATAACTAATCTTTACAGATCTTCAGGATCAATTCCCAGTGGTGTACACCAAATTAGATGGTATGTAGAATATTCTCTTGAGTAAAGCATGGAATACCTAATGATATTTTCATCTGAGAAGCATATTATTAGAGAAATACTGATTAGCAACTTGGCCGACTACTAATTAATTTAACAGTACCGGCCTTAGGTAACTTGGTGTTCTGAGCGACTAGGATATTCGCGCTTCCATCTCTCCAAAAGAGAATATTTTATGATTTTTGTATACTTTTCGTGCAGTGTATTTGTTTTTAAATACTCTGGTACGGGCTACTATTCAAGGGTTCGTTGACCGTTGTTGTTATTTTAGAGCAAAGCTTCACAATTGACTATCTGTGCTCTGTCCATCGCGGAGTATCGAACCCCAGATATTAGCGTCTTAACTTCGTAAACTTACCGCTGACTCACCGGATGACGTCAGTTAAAATGCAGTCACCAACACTGAACATACAAAACCCCTTATAAATAGTCAACACCCGATTTCTGCTCCGAGGAAAGAATTCATTTATTGGAGAAACCTACCGACATGACAATGAAATTCTTTAATAAATATTGCTATTGCGTTGCCTCAAAAACTAATCAATAAGTTAAAAGAAAAAATACTTTATGTCTATTTAAATTATCAGTGATTAGAGTGTACTGTACCAGCTACAGTTGTTTATATTACATTTTATTTTGTTCCTAAATTTGAGTATTTTTGTCAGTACAATTTTGAAACATTCAGTTTCTTATAGCTATTCATTTCGTTGCTTTGTAGAAATGGCACTCGACTCGCAACCTACGAATTCCATCCCTAAGCATGCTCGCCTTTTCAGACGTAGGGGTGTTATAACGTGACGATCAATCCCACTTTTCGTTGATAAAGAGTAGCCCAAGTGTTCACGACGGGTGGTGTTGATTGGCTGTCTTCCGTTTAGTTTGTTGCTTCTAAATTAGGAACAGTTATTGCAAATAGTCCTCGAGGACCTTTTAATGAAATACAATACACTATCTATTTCTATAGTAATCGGTGCCGACTATCGTATATTAAGCAGACCAGTTCTACATATATAAACTATTGAAGGAAGATCAAGTGTATGACACCAATATATGAAAAGCCTTGAGATTTGCGTTTTTAACTGTGTACTTGATTTCAGAAACGTTACAGCTTCAGATATTATTTCATGCAACGTTTGTGTTAAGATGTTTGCCTTTGTTTTTAAAAGTATAAAGTGTAGAATATTAATCACCTGAGTCTGCGTGAATACCTCAATCGGCGATGTCAGTTCCAGCTTTTCTCCATGGGAAGATCGGCTGAAGTATTTTCGTGGGTGGATACACTAGCACATTTTGGTCCTTCCACATTCGAAAAGTGTGAGACGCGAATAATAAAAATAATCACTAGCAGAAACATGGGATTAGTGAAGAAAAATATTTTCAGATTAAAATTCCAGGACAGAGAATTTGCAATAATATCTTAAATAGTTTCATCTGAAGAACGTGATTTGCTCTTTCCAAATGGAGGTGATGTCAAGTTATTCCTTTTAATTGTACAGTATTTGAGAAAAATAGTTTGAAATATAAGAAAAGTAAAGAATTAAGTTTCTTTTTTCTTTGTTTCTAAAAGCATACAGTGTAGAATATCAATATTTATATTGTGCGCGAACACGCGAATGCACAATCATACGTACGTACGCACACTTAAATGATATTGTTGAAGATTATTAACCACGAAAATTCGTTGAGGATGGTTTGAAATTTAACCAAAGACACCTGTACTACAAACAGAAATATCTACCACGTACGATCATGCTTTTGAATCTTATAGCATATAATTTAGATTAAAGTAACCATAATGAGCATTACAGCCACCTATATATATATATACATTTATATAAAGCACAAATTTCTGTGTCCGTATGCTTGTCTGTCTGTCTTGTCCGTTGTCTAACTACTCCTAGGTCGCTGGGCCAATCTCAACCAAACCTAGTGGTATGATAGTTTAAAACAATTCCATTCGTAGATGGTGCCACGCCAGTACAATAAAAAATTATCAAAGTTTCTATAACACAACATACACAGTGTGGGGGAGGGCATACAAATGTTTTATATATATCTCAGAGAGTGCCCAAGCACTCTACATGGAGGAATGCAATGGAAAAAAATAGACGCCACTATTGCAATAAAACATAAACTCAGCTAAAGTTTCTACCACAGCAGCCACCATAAGGTTGATATGAAGAGCCGTTTCTTGAGTTATAATTACTTCCTACTTTGACCCGTGGCCTTTCAACTTCGGCCCGTAAGACATTTCAATTAATTAAACAAGTGAAACACTGTGGAGGGACATTAAGATGTGGGTTTTGAAAGCGGGTTTCAGAAGCATCCCTATCGCCCCAACTTTTCCCGCTACCTTTTCCTACAAAGTCACCCTGATCATCACGCAGTGTATACAATGTTTTAAGTATAAATATATTGAGTTATTAAAGCTTATACAAAACTTTTGGTGATATGATAATGAATATGTTATGTTATAAATAAATTGTGTGAAAGATCGGATTTTTGTGTTATTTATCACAGCATTCGTCCCACTTTTTTTTTTAAGTTCATAACCCGGACAAAGGACGGGTACCTCAGTCTGTAATATATAAAACAATCAAAAGTAAAATACAGAGAACCAACAACAAAAGACCACAACACCATTAGTTACAATAAAATATAAAAAGTAGAATGACCAAAAGCACGAAATGACATGCTGAGAGAAATTGGGAGGGAAATGTTACAAATAACGAAGAATATAAGCATCTGGATAATTAAGTAATAATTAAACCATTGAGTAACTATGTGATATATTTAAAGATTTCTTTTTTCGTACTGTTGTTAAAAAACATAATACTGATATTCATATTGTCTCTGATGAAAAGAACGAGCCCCACCAACCATAATCTACAACGTTGTAAACGGTTATTCCGATGTTACTGAAAATGGAGAAGTGGTAATTTTGCCAATTGAGTAACTATGTGATATATCTAAAGACTTCTTTTTTCGTACTGTTGTTAAAAAAACGTAATACTGATATTCCTATTGTATCTGATGAAAAGAACGAGCCCCACCAACCATAATCTACAACGTTGTAAACGGTTATTCCGATGTTACTGAAAATGGAGACGTGGTAATTTTGCCAGGAAGTGTTGTCCACTTGAATTGTCTGTTTCAGCGAGAACGTGGCAATCCTGAGTGGACGTGGTCATCCACATCAAGGTAAGTCAGTATTATAAACATTAGATAACCTTTTCATTATATGATAATACAGGGTGTGTCACAGTAAATCCCTTACCAAATAAAAGAAAAGTTAAAAATGAAACTATAATTAAAAGAACAAGTCGTTTTTATCTAAGTCATTGATTTTGGCTGTGTATTCATGATGAAACAAATGGGAAGATTAACGTCAACTACCTTACACAGGAAGAAGAATTTTATTGAAAGAGTTCAAATATGGATGGCTAAGGTAAAGACGTTTCATAATCTTCCTTCTTTAGGATTACACTATATTTGCGGGATCAGGATCACTGAATCAGATTAGCACATACATAAATTGTTCACCACTCTTACCACTGCATGTCTGTAGACAACTTCCCTATCCAGATCTTAAGTTACAGACTGCAATGACGTACTAATCCTTTGAGAAAAATATACAAATTGGAATACTTCATTTTATACATGTGGTCGCGTAAACTTTCCTACTTGATTGTTTGTTTGAAGTTAAGCACAAAGCTAAACAATGGGCTATCTGTGCTCTGCCCACCACGGGTATCGAAACCCGTTTTCTAGCGTTGTAAGTCCGTAAACATACCGCTGTGCCGCTGGGGACTTCCTACTTGAACAAAATAGCATGAAGTAATTTGGATTTACTATCCTATGCATATTTATCGTGGATTCGCTATGTATCTCCCTATGCAGATCAATATTATTAACCATACATATGTATGAGGTTTATTTTATGTTAATATGTGTCTTTTTTAATATTATCTTCGGTAAACAATGAGTTTTATTATATAGAAGTTAAGAATATTTAAAAACAGAAACTTTCGACTTCAAAGTTTCTTTGTCTTCTGACTGCTCTTATAACGCTAAAAATCTTGTTTCGATTCCTGCGGTGGGCAGAAAACAGATAACCCATGACCAACTCACATTACTGCAAACATCAAACTAAACAAAGTGTTTTTGTAGAAATACCCCGCTGCACTTAATTTATTAGCATATTTAAGTCAGATAACTATACTGTACAATTGGCGAAACCTTAACTTCGGTCAAAACACAAAGATGTTCAGAAGAAGAAAAAAAAAGTTTTTTTCCCCCATACATTGGATAAGAATAAATTACGATTGACATATGAACGTATCATTAGATCAATATCCGTCCACTGCTAGAAGGTATTCAACTGTAGCATGTTACAATGTTACCAAATTAACATTCACGTAGCAACCGCGACTGAGACTCTCATTTAGACAGTCCTTCTGCATTTCGCATTTTGTCGTGGCCTAGTATATATTGTTTTGCGAATGTCTTTATGATCCTTAAAGCATCTGTTCGCAACTGGATTCATAACATAGTGGCTGCGTATGGAATTTATATCATGAAACTCATCAAAAGAATGAGGAAATGTATCTATCCTAACAGAAGACAGATTGATAAGTATCATCTGGTTGACAACGTCCTGAGCATTATAAGTGTACGTAATCTGTTATGGTTGACCTACAAAAACCTAACTACATTTGTTTTCTAAGCACCAGTCGTATATGTACTGAATATCCGTAAAGATAAAAAAATTAACTTGCTACATGAATCTTTTATCTTTTAACAAATTCATGTTCTTTGGAGATGGTTTGTTTTCTTTGAGTACTGTGATATGCATATAAGCTGTTAACTAACTGCCTTTCCTCTAGTCTATCAGTTCAAAATTTAGGATGGCTTTTGTAGATCTGGGTGAACATCCGAAACAAATGTTCATCTCAAAGTTTCTTAATTATAACACACTAGACAGCTATGAATCCAGAGAAGCAAAAAAAAATCAGAACTGTTCTAAATACGAAGTCTAGAACTGATAAAATTAAAACATTACCACATCGTCAGACAAACCTGCTATGTTGGTTGTACAGAATGTTAACTGGAAACCATATAGGAATTCAAATAGGTATGTCAGTAGAATTTATAAGCTTAACACGATAGATAAGTCGCTGATAAGAGTTAGCTGAGACAGCTAAAAGGCTTAATATGTATTTTTATATTTATAAAGTTTACACCAAAACATGGTTTCCACTTCAAATTGAAAAAAAAATGTTTTTTACACTTTGATAGTATTCAATACTTTTAGACAGTATCCCTGCGGGTGGTCCCTATCGGCTGATGAAAGAAGCTGGAAATACCGACTTTCAATCTATTATACTAAGGAGGAAGATACTGGTGTCTACAGTTGCACCACACCTAGAGGAAAACGAAACGAAATTCGCGTTTTAGTGAAAGGTTGGTTATTCATCAAATAGACATACTGGCAAATAAACAAATAACACAACACGATGGCCAGTTTGGTAACTAGTGATATTTTTCTTAAAGTGATTATTGTTTTGTTTTTTCGAGGGTTAGGATAATGTTTTCTTTATTAAAAAACAAGTTTTTTAATTTCAGAGTAATTCCACTGAAAATATTCTTTTAATTTAAAAGAATTAAGAAAACTGCTTCAAAGTTACCAAAATATATTGATTTTAGAATGTGCTAATTTTTTGAATTAGAACCTAGTGTCTTTGAAGTAAACGTGGGTAATTTCAATATACTAATATAGTCGAATGTGTCAAAATCAGAAAGTAAGTACCACACCGTATATGGTATTTCTAAAGATTGACTAAAAATTATCTTTTCTTTGAATATGAAAATATACTTATAATAATCACACAGAGATACGTTTATGCCACCCGGTGGCTCAGTGTTAAATCTGAGGGCTTAACACGCTAAAAAATTGGGTTTAGATATTCACAGTGGGAAGAGAACAGATAGCCCATTGTATAGCTTTGTGTTTAATAAATAAACAAATAAAAATATCTTTATACTAGTAAACATTTCTCCACGACTTGTGGTTAGGCCCGGCATGGCCAGGTGGTTAAGGCATACCTACTCACAATCTGAGGGTCGCGGGTTCGAATCCCTCTCACACCAAACATGCTCGTCCTTTCAGCCGTAGGGGTGTTATAATGTGACGGTTAATCCCACTATTCGTTGGTAAAAGAGTAGCCCAAGAGGGTGGTGATGACTAGCTGCTCTCCCTCTAGTCTT